ACTCATGTGCTGTGTGAGTGTTTGGCTCCCCTTTCCCAGTGTTGGCTTTTTGTTTGGCTCCATTAAGGCCACTGGCCGACATTGTCATTGTCATTGTCCTTTTAATTTTGTTGTTCAGATTCAGATTCATATCATATCAACCATTGAATCATTTCACTGATCACCATTTCAAGTCATACCATATGTCACGTCCCGTCTATGTCTATGTCTATTCATTTATCAGTTGCATTGCCATTGCAGGTTTGCTTTGCACATTGATGAACTGAAAACAAAATCTGTGAGGTGAAAGGAAGGGTCATAGTCTCAGGCTAGGGTCCCATGTCAGAGGCACACTCAAGGTCCAAGGTCAAGTCATTTTGAGTGGTGGTGGTGTGTCAGAATGTATGGACTTGTTGGCAGGACGCCCATTGATGCTTCTTTGCCACTCAGCTTTGACTTTGTCGACACTGCTCTCTCCAACACAAGCGGTCTCAACACCAGAATCTTGGTAGACATGCAGAAGTTCCTTGCTTGCAGCACTGTGCTGCGCCATCCCAGTTTTGACAACCAGGCCAAGCAGGCATTGAAGATCATTGCAAGTGCGACTACCGCCTTCAGTGCACGCACTGGTTTGGTCTTCAAAAGCAATGAGTTTTTTGAGGTGGGGAGGAAACTGATTAGACTGAGACTGAGACAGATTCACTTGGTTACACATGACCTGACCTGTCCTTAACTTAGCTGACTACACTGCCTAGACCTGGATCTACCAAGGCAGGCAACAAGGACATGACATTGCCAACTTGCTTTGTGGGTTCAAATTCTAGTTTGATGTTTCTTACGGTTTACAATTTACAATGTTTCAATGGTTTAGAGTTAAGAGTCAAGTCAAGTCAAGTCATGTGTTATGTTATGTTCCCCTTTTGCAAAATTTAAATATCTCATATCTCAAACAGAACAACCCTGGGCTCTCTCCAAGTCTTCTTTGCAGGTGCACATGGCAGAAGGTTGTCGACATGTCCAAGACCATCATTGACCTCAAGGCTGCAGCTGAAAAAGCTGCCAACTTGACAATGACTTGCCATGAAATTCAGGCCGCAATGGAGAATAATACCCCAGTGACTGATGAGATCATGAAGAAATTCAGTGCTCTTTCAGCCCTTCCAGATTGCAAGTTGCTCCTCGAGCAATCAGATTCTCTCACTGGTGCCGAGACAAAGGCCAAGGACGATCTGACAGATGCCTTTACCAAGTTCACTGCCAGCATTCCTTCACCTGAGGCGGCCTTTGAGACATTCAAGGAGTTTATCGGCAAACAGTGGCATGAGAACATGGATGGCACAAACATCAAGAACGGCGAGGTTTCTCTTCTCCTCTCAGCTCATCAGCCAAGTCTGCTTTTCACCGACATTGGAGCTGCTTGCTATGCAGGCCACAGTTTCCAAACCATTCCCAACTTTGCATGTGTGAGGGATCTGGGATGTAGTGATGTCAGTTGAGTCTTCTGTCCGCATTCCTTGTAGTTCTCTATACTTCATTCATGTGATCAACAGTTTTGTTTTTGGAGTCAAGGAGTCAAAGTCAAGGTTGCATTGCATTTTCTTAAAACTTTCTTACTTGGCAGGATTGGCAGAGTGCTTCATTCAGAAGTCTCAGCCCACTGCACGCCAAGCTGAGTACTTGATGGTTGGGAAGGTGTGCCAATTGCTGGTCCAGTTTGTGTCAGACTCCTGCACAAGCTCACCTGTGACCATGAAGCATGGCTTGCAGTTGTGGCAGAAACTTTCGAAAGCATTGGAGCCCATGGGCAAGTTGGTTCCAGACAGCTTGCAGAAAGACTATCCAGTCATGAACTGTGTGACGCAAGCAGTAGGTCGATTTGGTGACCTGCTCACAGTCGGGATTACACGTGAGATCAAAATCAACATGGAGGGGGAAGTAGATGTCAAGGCCCTTCAAACGCTTGCCAAAGACTTCCCAGAGCCCTTGCCTCGCAAGGTGGCGACCTTGCTCCACACACTCCAGACAGCCATTCTTTGGACTGAGAAGTCTCTTGTCATTGACAACTCCCTCTCAGACAAGATCAATGGTCCAGGAATGCAGCTCTTCTTGCCATTGTACCTCAAGGTTGTGGCATTGGATTTGGACAGCATGGCCAAGATGCTGCCTGAGAAGCACGAGCTTGCTGTGAGCTTCATTAAGTCCTTCCAGGAGTTGTTGACGAAGTTCATTGTCACCACGGAGGGTGACCTTCAAAAGTCCGTGGATGTTTTGGCCAAATTCAGGCAGGAGTTGTTTGCAGTAACTTGTTGCTCCTTCCATTTTTATGCAGTTGTTGTGGCTCCACTGACCCCACTAAATTTATAGACTCGTGCACCCATGGACCCAATGGCTGACTATGTCACAATGTCTGTACTGTAAAGTCAAGTAGTGATTGTGAGTTGAATCACCTTTCCAATTTACTTCCATGTCAATGATTATTTCATTGGTTCACTTAGAATTTAGAATTGATTTGTGGGCAGGAAAATCATCCCAGCCGTTGAGTCTTGGAATCTGGAGAGCCTTGACTGGCTACTGAATCCTCCAGATGAGACAGCCTACAATCAAATCAAGTCTGACTTCGAAGGCATGGAGGAGGCCCGAGACGTCCTTGGCCAGCAGCTGCCTTTCTTGAAGGCTGTTTCTGCAGTCAGGGCCAACATGGGAGACCTTGAGCTATGGTGTGGTGGGAAGTGGCCAGTGGTGCAGAAGAACCTGGAGGACAGTGATGTTTCAACCTTTATTTTTTATGTTGCTGGTGACTGGACAAATGACCAGTGAGATGCTTCGGTCCACTCAGTTCTCTATGGCTCAGTTAGGTGCTATGTTGCTTTCCTTCCACTTCCGTTCGCATTACTTTGGATATGATTCGATTCAAATGATGTGATAATATGATTTGATAGATTGATATATGATAATGATATGATTCAAATGATATGAGATGTTCAACATGGTAGTCTACAATATTTGTGTCCAGGCCTCAGGGCTTAATGGACAACTGACTTCAAACAACTTTTCACAGATTCAGAACAACTCAAACTAATTGATTTTCATGATTCATGTGTGTCCAGGGAACAGGGATTAGCACATGTGAGTCACATGTGGTCATGGCCAGGAGTTCAGGCACGCCTCATCGAAGGTGCTGGCCTGGTCAACGTGCCTTGATTTTGTGGTTCACTCAGAGAACTACACTGAGAAGGGTTCGTTGTCCAGGATCATGGCATTTGTCAGCTCCATGGGGATGTCCCAAGCAGATCTTCCAAGTGAGTTGCGGAACCGCATGAATCCAGAGGCTTCAAAGCCTGCATCAAAAGCCAAGGCAAAGCCTGCCCCAAAGCGCAGGGGTAAGGCATCCGCACCAGCAGTGACTCCAGCTGCTGGTGAGAGTGAGGAAGAAGCTCCCGTCAGCAAGAAGCGTAAGACTGAGAAGGCTGAGAAGAGTAGGAAGCGAAAGGCTGCCAAGTCCACCTAGATTTGGCAGTTGTCCCGTTTTTGCCAGTGTGTTGATGCTGGTAGTGGTTGGCTGAATGGGAACACTTCAAGTCAGGTCCATGAATGAATGAAAGTGAACTTATCCTGTCAATCACTCACTGACTTTTCTGAATACTCTGACTCTGTGTTTGGGTTTTGCGTTGTTTAAGACCAGGAATGCCATGTAACTTTGTTTGTTTGGGCAGCCAGCCACAATCAGCTATGGGTTTGGGGATGTCCCTGGGTCAGAGAGTGCTCCAGTCTGTTGCAAATTGTTTGATGGCTACAAAGTCATTGCTGCTGTTACCCACTGCTGTTCATAGTTTTTTCCGGATTACGATGGCCCTCCAAGACCTCAGAGACTTTCATTAGATGTGAAGGCACAGGCGTGGCCTCTGTCACAAGGGTAATGCAGAGATCTTAGGCCTGGCACTTTCGCAAACAACTTGTGAGTCAAGCGAAAACAAGTGGCCACATGTGATGCATGGGCAGGCACAAGGGTTGGGTTGTGCCACGTTGTTTCACTGTTGGCAAATGATGTTTGGCCCTTGATATTCATACCTTTTTGGGCCCACACCTGCACCTCCAACAACAATTCCAAGTTGAATTGGGTTGTGACCACACTTCTTTTTGAACACAAACTTGGGGTGAGCAAAACATGTCTGGCGTTTGATGTGAACACTTCACTGGATGCCTTGGCAGCAGGGGAGGCTTTGGTGTGACAAAGCAGACATTCAAAACCTTAAGATACACCATGTGTCACTTTCGTGAAATATATATTTTTTTGGGATGCCGGAACTTTTGTATACTGTGTATACTGTATACTGGACTCATTTTAGGGTTCTCAAGGAACAATGGCCAATGCCATCACTTGTGAGGTTTCTTGCAATTCCATTCTGGTTGGTTTGCCAGTTATGGTTCAGACAAGGATGGACACTATCTCATTGTAAGTGGAGACAAAATCATTGATGAATTATTAATAGTTAATTTTGTGGTTAACTTTTAGACTCAGTTTCTGATGTTATCTGAACTATTTAGGATTAGTTTCTGATGTTATCTGAACTATTTAGGATTAGTTTCTGATGTTATCTGAACTATTTAGGATTAGTTTCTGATGATATTCTGATGTGTGTGTATGAATTTAGGATTAGTTTCTGATGTTTTTTGGTATAATTATGATGTTTTTATGTTCTTTTTTCCAAAAATCTAGGATTAGTTTCTGGTGAGTTGTTGTTTCCTTTTACAATAGTTAGAATTAGTTTCTTGAATTTGGAATTAGTTTCCACAGATTTTGAATTAGTTTCTATATCCCCTGTGGAGCTCACAGGTAAAGAGGCCAATAAACGTCATAACGGATGTGTCCTAATCATAAGACCCCGAGCACCCTCACTTCGACACCAGCAGTTCCCTCCCGTCTCGTCCCGTCGTCATCATCTGTCTAATTAGCCACTCAACTTCTTCGCACTTCGGGAACGACCGAACGACCAGCGACATGACATGACCATCCAAGGGACTGTTGCAGCCATTGCCTCAAGTCGTTACACACCTCACCGGTCATGGCCTCGGTGTAGCCCTGCAGCAGCCTGGGTTCCAGCTGCGCGGATGTGCTGCAAACGCTCTGGAGTCAACGCTGCTCGGGTAAGCGGGTGTTGCGAAGCGGCCCGACATAGAGGAAGCGGCTGCGGAGAGCCCCCATGGAACAAACACTCATGGGTTCTGGGCGACCTCTTTGTTTCGGAGGAGCGTGGGCGACCAGTGTTCTGGGCCAGAGTCGGTTCAAAAGACTCCGAATTCGCAATGGCCATTCGGGATTGGGCAATTGAAAGCCGTGGGAACCCGGAGACCCGAGGAACCCCAAGCGCTCAAGGTCGCTCTCTTTTTGGTGTCTTGCTGGGATCTCACTAGCGAAGTGGGTGTTCAATGGAATTTTACAGGTCCTTCTCCGGGAGATCAGGGTCAACCAACAATTTGAGACACAAAGATCGAGTAAAAGTGTAAAACGTCCTGTGTCTTTGCAAGCCAAAATGGTTAAAACGGGTAGACATTCTGTATATTATAGTATAGTATATTGTCGTGATCGCTGATCGGTGTCTCCTGCCCCGCGAGGCGTACGGCATACTTAGGACCTTCAACCAACCAACCAACCAAGCAACCAAGCAACCAACCAACCAATCAACCCAACCCAACCCAACCCAACCCAACCCAACCCAACCCAACCCAACCAACCAACCGGTGCACCAACAGCCCTGTGACATATCCAAATGTCTACCCCAATGTATAGTTTCCCATCTCTTGCCAAAACACCCCCACGAGTCTGAAGGCGATCCAAGGCACATGGGCTGGTGGCGTCCATTGGGGTCCTCCGTTCGAGCGGCTGGCGCACGCTGACACCTACTACCGCAGCATGTCATGCGCCATGCCTGGCCCTGATGTCATGCTCTGTCTCCACTCCAAACACGACCGTCCTGCAGCAGGTTCACCGCATGGGCGATGCGTTTCAGCGCGTGCTCCGCCAGGTCCAGGTTCTCCCAGAGCTGGTGCTCCTCATCCTTTGTGACGAGCTTGGAGTTTTGAAGCTTTTGGAGCTCTTTCAGGTGCGAAAGGACCTGGCGGGCACAGGTGGGGATGAAGGAAAGGTATTCTTCTCCTGGATCTCATTTGGGCAAATTCTACCAAAATAGACCAGGATGAAACGATCAAATGTCATCTGATCTATGCAAATGGGAGGAAAAAACAAGATTGGTCGGGGATTAAACACCTACTTAATAAATTCCCCTGGCCCAAATGCGGGGCGAAGGAACGTTGTGCATTCAGCAAGCAATTAGATGTCACTGCGTGGGCTCGTCTGAAGCAGGTGCCCCAAAGTTTGATGCTTCGCCTGGATCCCTTCTCGCTCGCCTGGGCCCCTTGACTTTTGTGGGTTCAAAGCTTTGAGGCATGAGATCCGTGATCAAATGTTGACACATGTTTGCAAAAAAAAGCAGGGCCCCATAGCCTTTACACCTTACAGTACCTCCTTCCTTTTACACCTGACCTCCACCCAAAAAACACAAAGGACAACTCCAAGCCTCTCAAAACCAGAGTGACAGAATAATTACATGTAGACTGTAGACTGTTGATTAAAAAGCTATATCAAGTTGAAAAGGCTTTACAACTGTTGTCTGCAGAGCTCCTTGGCATGTTTATCTCACCTTTTCCTCTGAGTTTCACACTACCACCCAAACCCACTGAATACCAGTAAGGGTTGGTGTGGGCGCGCTCAGACTCGCAAATGGGGGTGTTCTATTAATCAACAGTCTACATTGCTACCATGTCCAGCTACGGGTTCTGCAGTCAATTCGCACGTCCTTGACTCGATCGCGGCTGCCGGGCCTGCTGCTGCCACTCGGCGGGGGTTCCTTCGCTGTGTCGACGGCCTTTCTCGTCATCGAACAAGTTCCCGGTCTTTGCGGGTTGACCTCAGGTCAATGATTCAACCGCAGATGTGTAGTCAGTGTAGTCATCATGGAGTGGATGAGAATCATTGAGAATCTCCATCATGGCCCGGCAGGGGGTCAAATGTCCTCTCACACAGTTCAAACATGGGAAATGCTCCAAAATCCTGCAGGGTAAATACAACGGGTTCCTCGTTGAAAGGATTATGTACAGTAAGCATGTTGCCGTGGATGTTCAATCGGTGCGTATTTTCTTACCCTGTCCGTGTAATTAAGTTCACATCCTGGGACCCTCCGTGTTCTAAAGCAAGGAGGTAGTCTTGCCAGGTGACCGCTAAACGGTATATAGTTCCAGCTGTATCTGAAGGTATTCCGCTCATTTCTTCAGATTAATTACTTGTGTCGTATTGGCACATTGACTCTACCTTTTCTGAAAAGGCGGCACATCTGATGCTAGCTCTGTTTCGATCTGCAGCCCTTTATTTTTTGTAGACACCACAAAGACCTACAACATTCACAGGTCATGCTTGGCACCCCACTGGCAACCTATGAGCTGCATGCTTAGCATGTATTCTCCCTCATTTGCTAAAATGCAAGGAGACTAGTCTGGGAAAATGCCCGACTTTCACCGCTCCAATCGGTCACTTTATAAGCAATACAAACTGGGCCTACCCCTTGCTTGGATCAGAAATCCCAACGATGAACTTATTTCACGTTAATGCCACGAACTGGACCTCAAGAGGAAGAGACGCAAGTTTGTCCGATGGACCTCGTGATGTATGATCCATTGGTCCATTCGATCGATGTGCATCGATGGGCACCGGTCTTTCGGAACAAAACGTGAACCACTGGGAACCGGTCTCATCCAGGCTTTTCATGGTTTTTCGCTGTGGAGGTCTTCCCATCCAAGGCACCTCGGCCCAAGTATTGGGCTTCTCATGGATCTCCAAACCCAAAAGCCCCACGGCCAGCTGCAGCAAACGGGCGTTGCTCGCAGTTCCGCCCGAAATCGGCGCCTCGCACCTGCGAATGGAAGGTCCATTAATGGTTGGCTGGAACCTCAAAAAAAGGCTACGCCTTGGAAGATATTGAAGATAACATGGCACCTGAAAACCACTGGGTATTCACGCGGAACATCATCTTCCAGTCTGGTCCACGCCGTTCGCCCGGTTCCGGTCTCAGAACCCGGGTGTAACACTACCGCACTGATTCCGCGCCATGTTTTGTGCGCTCGGCCTTTCAGCTTCGTCAGCCTTTCGCTTCTCGCGCCAGGGTGACTCGCCTGTCCAGGCCGGTCACAGCCGGTCACGCCCGTGTGTTCTTGCTAAGCCTGTGTTCCAATTGAGTGTGGGGGGGAAACTACCCACAGGAACTTTACTGCCTGCCTGATGACACATCCGAAATGTCATGTTGTACCATAAATCAAAAATAGACCAGAATATGATCGATACATCAAAACGCGTCGTTTCAGCTATACATCAGCAACTTTACAGATCTTTGAGGGTCGGCCCCTTTTTGACCGTCAGATCCCGATCTTTCGCAGCGTTCCATGGGCCCGACCCGCTTTGGCAGTTGCCACCCGCAGAGATTGAAACACAAAACACATATTATATGACCTATATAAAAAATATAATACATATGTAATATATATATACACATATTATATAACGGTGTGAATGGCTAACAAAGCTGGAAGGTTGGCTCCAACAAAGTTCCAAGATTCCAGGAGGTGCACATTTTCGGCAGAGCGTCCAAAGGCTGGAGGTGCACATGTGGACGAACACCAAGGTTATCGCAGGGTCATGTCACATTATAGGAATCCTTTGCAGGGTCCAAGCCCTTGCGGAGTTCATAACTCTGCAACACCCCACAATGATTGCTCCGCTCCGCTTACGCGACTGACTTTAGGCTATACAGGCTTACGTTATCAAATAACGACAAACTTTCTGCGCCACGCTTGACTTGTCCTTAGCCCAAATACATGCAAACATATGTAAACATGATGGTCAAGCAAAGCTTCCGCACTTTGCTTGCGCTAGTGCATCAGCAATAGATTGCTTACGCAACCTAACTTACGCAATTCAGGTTGGTGCTTGCGCAAAGCATCCTTCCATCCTTCTGTCCAGGCCCTTATATAATCAATATGAACACCAAGGTTTTGAACGATGCTCTAGTAGATAATCTTGCCTCTTCAATCCACACGTCCGTATAGACACACCAACCCGCCAAAGGGTTTCTGGTTTGGGTTAACATGCTCACAGTCTCTGCCTTTGTGATCCTACCACAGTCAATCATAGTCCTATCATTGCCGAACGGAAACACATGTTACTTGCCAAGCCTTCGAACCAACATGCCTGCAAAATTCTACAACCAGTTGTCTCTGTTCTGATTGATCTTCGCAGTCGTCGGCGCTGCCTCCAAGGGCCTTTCCTTTGCGAGGCTCGGTCTGCACCGCTTTGGAGACTGAGTCCACCTGGAACTTGATGGTACAAGCGCTGGCAAACATCATCCGTACTTCTACACCACTGATCTGAGCTCAATTCCCCGCGGTGGTTTGCTCAGACACTGAGCTTTCAAAATTGCAAGGCTTCCGAAAGGGGTCGAAGTATGGATCCTCGATCCCAAGCGGTCAATTTCTGTACCGGATAGGTAAACACCACTGCTTCACTTCCACAGGCAACAGGTCAAGGACTATAGTGACTGTATGTGACTTGAAGTCATCATCATTCTAAGCACCCAGAAGACGCAGTTCCTGTTCCAGTTTTGACGCATGAAAAGGGGCGTCTCCACGTTCCCAATTCAACTTGTTCCTTCTGTGTCACTTCCTTATTTCATCTTATTTCTGAGTTCGACACTTTTCCTAGCCCCAAAACTTGAAACCATGGAGGACTCCTCCTGGCCCTCCACCATCCCCGAAGCTCCAACAAGCTTCATTTTCACTTCACTAGCGGCTGGGCCAGTCCCCTGTCAGTCAAAACCCTCGGCAGCCTGAGCCTTCACCACTCCACACCAACGGCTTTGTCCACCCCGCCTGCCGGCCCAAGTCCACACCGGCTTCGATGAGCTGCCCGGATCTGCGAGAGTGATGGAGCGAGTGCCGGCTGGAGGGCACTCGAGAACACACAGGCTCCCTCCCTCCCTCCAGTCCAGTCCCGCCGGCTGTGCTGGACCTTCCGAAGTCGCACAGCAGCGGCACTGCGATTCCGGATGCCATGGCCCTCATGCCGACCACAGCTGCGCTGAATGATAGTTGTGGATCAACAGCTACAACGGTGGCGAACTCTTAACGGTCTGGATGTTCCATCTGGGCATGTAAAACATTGAAAAACCTGCCTCATACAAGAAGTGGAACTAGAAAATAAACATCTAAAGCTAAACTAAGCCAGAGTCTGTTTCCTTTACTTAGTAGGCTTAACAACATAAACTAAACAAGGATATGATTGATTCTGGGTCACCACTACCTTCTGAAGAAGGTTCTGGCAACTGTTGCATCACAAAAAAACAGGTACACTTCCGGCGAAGACGGGCCCGGTGACTTGGGCCAAAGGACGGTGTTCAGAACGTCGCCGGCTGCGGAGAACTAAGGTGTCCAAGTCCATGTCTATGCGGATCTATGTTGCTTTCACATAGATCGCTTGGTGGCCTGTGAACATGTTCACTGCATGTTACTAGATCTCTGGTCCCCATCCCCTTTTGAGTAAGAGCCTGTTCTTCCGAACCAGTTCAATTGAGAAACTAGGGCGTCTGACACTGGAAGACATCCTAAGTAGAAGCTTCAAAAAACACAGACATGGGTATAAAATGTATAATGTATATATTATTACAATTAACAATTATAAAGTAAAGCCCATTCTTAGTTGCAGTAAGGAACATGGACTGCATTGCCAGCATCTACCAATTTGTTCGTTGGGCCAGGGGGGCCTTCCCATCCTCAGCCACATGATATACCCTGTTCCAATGCAGGAACATGCGTGCCAAATACTACGAGGCTCTGTTGTGCGCTTTTTTGAAGTTCAGCTTGGCTCGGCTCTTGCAACTGACTTCATGTAAGTTTGGTCGAAACATTCGCAGAACTCAGCCGTGTGAGACACCCAGGCACTGCTCTTCAAAGTGCAGAAACTGCTTTCATCCTCTTGACCCACATTGGCCCACACACACACACACTCAATTTCTGTGTTTCTCCATCAAGGCAAAAGACATGCATTTCTGCCCTCAACTCCCATTCGAGCGTCTCATTGTCTTCAGCATCAGTTGTCGGAGTCGAACTCTTCCAGCGAAACGACGTGCCAAAACGGGGAGAAAACACAACGCAAACAAGAGAAGGACTTTGCCTCGGGAGGTGATTCGAGAAGCGCCAAGAAAACCCACATGCAAATCTACAGAATACATATAATTCAAAAATGCAATAATTCATTAGTCACCTTCCAAGTTGAAACCATTTCCGGGGAGTGAGGGAACATTCGTGAAGTGAGGAATTTCCGCCGAACCACAGAATTTCTATGAACGCCAGGCAAGCAACATGGTTGCCAGGATCCTTTAATGTGTTTAAAGAAAGTATAGAACCCTTTCTTTCCTACGCACTCCCACACACAAAACGAGACACTTGTGAGAATTGTTCCTTCTGAATGGAATGTTCATTCACAGTGTCACACACACAGAGCTCAGCTTACACCTGTAGTTTTTGAAGAGTTGTTGGAGCACTCTATGGGTCCTGTGGGTGGTAATGGGTGGTAGGAACTCTAAGCATGGACAACCCATTGGTACGTGTTGCCTACATTAGTCTACATGTTGATCTTTTTGTGGCAGGAAACGGCATCTGCCTGAAGCAGTCTAAGGAAGTTGTGCAGTCAAATGATCTTATGTTCACTGGCCAACCTGTTCCTTGGACAAGCAGTGAGAAGAACCAAGAAGAAGGAACACGCCTCCGTGGAACAATCCCTTTGCGTTCAGGAACTGGCAAAACTAATATAATCATTCTTATAGGGTTGAAATGGGTTGAAGGATGAGGAAAGTGCGTCATATTGTTTTGTGCGCTGTTTTTTTGTGTGGGCTCCTGAGACACAAAAAGTAACACTCCTGTCACACAGGGTTGACTGTCGTCTATCGCATTCCTCAAGGCTCAAGGGATATACCTACACTGCGTGCAAAAAGCCACTGCTTGCCTGCGCTCCACAGGCCGTACGCGGTAGTCCCTCTTTCAGGGGGAAGGTGGGGCACAAAATGCCAGGGTTTCACCTACCAGCCATTCTTCTTCCTCAGTGAGAGCCACTCCAAGAATCAGTTCTGAATCAGTTCTGAGATGCCACCAGAGGATCTCAGTGCCCATCGCAGGCTGCGTGGCAAAAGGTCATATAAACTTGGACTTTGAGGTGCATGCCGATGTGCTGGGGACCTCAGAACGCATGGCGAACCAAGCCTCAACACGTACACTCATTGAAACAATCGTGGAAGATCATGGAAGTGGAAATGGCCCGTTGGGTGACCATATTTATCCACAAACAGTTGGTCTTCCACGTCGTCCATGTTGGTGACTCGGAACGAATAAGCTGTATGGTTGTTTTTTTGTTTCTGGGGCTTCCTGAACTGAAATGGGTGAAGCATGGCCACAATTGATGTCAACACCATGCCTCTGTGACTTTAGGATACTTCACGGCGGGTGGAAGCCCTTTTGATTCATCATATTCATAAAGCCCCACGCGTCGAAGCTGAGTGGACGCACTGTGACCTACCGGTGGGGGGACGTTGTAAAGGCCACCTTGTACCAATGCTGATGACACATCGGTGATGTCGGCCGCTTTGTTGGAGCATCTTCATCCGGATGATATTCCGCAAGCCTTCCATGATGAATTTTGGAGGAGTCCACGGCCCCCGAACAGGTCAAAGCACCGGGTCTGCGTCACCGTTTGGACGCGTGCTGGACGTGAGTCGGACACGCCAACGTCCGACTCGCGGATAGGGCAAAAGGTGGGTCCCTGAGGCTCTTTCAGATAGGTTTGGAGGAAACAGATTCAAAACCAACAAGGATCTTCCATGATCTTCACGAAACGCCGCCTAATACTTCCCCGAGCAGCTGCAGACCCTTCAATGGATGCCATAGCCAGCGATCCCACAGTTCGGCCAGCCGACTGGGAGGCATTTGAGTCCACAAATGTTGATGCTCCACCTGACTGAAAGCCCAGACACGGAGGTGGGAAGCGCAGACACGGAGATGCCGAAGAAGACAAAAGGCACGAACATGCAGATCTCCCGTTGTCGTAGCTAAAAACACACACAACTAGAAGGAAAACTAAGGCATCTAGGAGTCTAGGACTGCCCTAAGACATCCTAAGACCACACAAGAAATCAAACAAAAAACATAATGAAGGAGATCTGTCTGGCCAAAATGTTTTCAATTCAGCATGCCACCGAGCACAGCGCTGGGAAGCCATGGAAGTGCAAGCGGACACTCCCTTCAATCAGGCCAGCGTCGACGACCTCTCCCAAGGCTCCACTCCGTAGAATGCCAAGTCCTGTGGAAAGGCACACCAAGCATCATGGGCCGGGCGTTCGGACGGGCGTTCGAAAGCCTGTCTGGAGGGTTCCTGTTGTTATGGTCCTGTTGCTCGAAGTTCTCAGGAGTCTCTTCTTGCTCGCGCCTTTGAATAGGTCGTTTCATTGCCAGTTGATCGAACAGATCTGAAAGGCACTTGCGTTTGGACTCCCCATCAGTGTCACTACGTTCGAGTCCACATGGGCCCCTGCTTTGTCCCAAGAGGTGTGGAGTGCCCAAAAGGTCCCTTGGGATGGAGTGCCTTGGGCCGAGGCGGTGGACCCGACACGTCGGGCGGGGGTGGACCCGCCTTGAAAGCGAAGAGGGCCACCGTAGAAGAAGCGTTCACCCACCTGAGATGGGAAGACACTCCAAGACGTCAGCACGACGTCAGCACAACGAACTTCACCTTAGACATAGCAAATCATTCGACTTTTGAGGGGACTTTAGGGTCCTGGATCCTTGGAGTGACTTGTGAGAGCACCCTTTTTTTTCTTGCAACGGCCCCTCCCTCAAACAATCATGGAAGTGGAACATGGGCCTGCTCATTTTTTGCTCTGCCAAGGGGTGTGATATGGGGTCATCATCTTCCATGATTGTTTGATACCATTCTGAAAAGCAAAAGGACAAGCAACAAGCAAGAATGGAGCCACTCGATAAACCACTGGGCTCTGTGGCTGCCAGGGGTGGGAAAATGCAGTCTCCGTGATGTCCATGCTCGGAAAAAGAAAGCCTCTCCCATGGAAAAGCTTTTCCCATAGAAAACAGGGAATCCAAAACTTATCATCCAAAGAATCCTCTTCACGGGACTCACGACGGAGCCTGTCATTTCGAAAGGGAATGAAACGGACCTGGGTGCTTTTATTCGTCATTTTCGGGGCTACCTACCTAACTAGAGGCCTCTTGAGGTTTCAAGAACCATAGCTCAACCCAAGCTGCCTTGACACCCTGGTCCTTGAGCTCGGCGACCGTGGGAGGCTGAGGTGCGCTGCGCGACAGCTGCTCCTGGTGCACCATGAACTTCGTGCGCGCGCTGCGCGAGTCTGGAAACTCCTGGCGAATTTGGCGAATCGACTCCACTCCACAGGGTGGACGCAGGTGTGGGCCAATCGACTCAAAAAACCAGGTATATAGCTGGGTAGTTTGAGGAGGGATCTCCAAATGACTCCCCAAAATTAAGCCGATGCCTACACCCCTACTAGGTTACTAGGCCCTACTGTTCAGGTCTGAAGCCTCTTGCAAGAATGTCAAGAATGTATGTTGGTTGCTCCCGTCCATTCAACCCATGGCACCAAGGCGCGACTGTGCGAAGTGTATGCATGGTGGTTTGCGCTGGTATGCAAGTGTGAGGTGCCCAAATGCTGAAAGCTTGGAGGAGTCATGGCAAACATTCCGTGCCAATTCAGTTGATTAAATTACACCTGAGCAAAATACAACAAACATGTCCTTCTACATGTCATCTACACGCATCTTTCACATTGATTTGCTCTCACTCTTTGATCGATCTATTTGGCGCTCGCTCGAGTGGCAAGCCATGGTGCTCCGGAGAGGTTTCACCACGCTGGGAGTTTTGCTGAAGTAGGTCCCACCGAACTCCCACCGTCTCAAAACACTTATAGATCCGTATATGTCTGCGGAAATTTGAATCAACAAAAAGAGGGCATGAGCTGCCGGCCTGGCCACAACTGACCACAGGACACAATTTCGCCCTTCCGTGTGAAGCATCCCGTTGCGTCCCAGCGGCCACGTGACAATAGTCGCGTGTGATCTTGTCCGGTGCGAGCACAATCCGGCAAAGGGCACCATGCTCAATCGATGATTCTGGTGTGAGATTCTGCCTGAAGTGACAGCAGTTGCAAAATAATGAATTGAACTATCTGATCCAGAATAATTCAATTGCAAACGCAGCTTTAATGAAACTGTGACACCAATCGCAACTCGCACTTCAGGACTTCATTCCCCTGGGGCGGAGGCCAAGCAAATCACTGGCCAAGTCTGCCGAGCCACTGGCCATACTTGAACATCAACAGCTAGCATCAGTTAGCCAGTGAGTCTTCTTACTTTGTTGTCTTACCAGTTTGCCAGTGCTATTTGACCACATAGCAATAACTATCTAAAGAAAACAACTTGCTTGCTGAAATACTCAACCGGAAACTCCCTGCTTATAGGGACAACTGGTTATGAGTCATTTCCATGTTAGTGTCTGTAGATCTTGAGATCCAGGTGCACGCTGGGCCCTGTGTAGAAGAAGCAATCACCTTCTTGGCGGCTGCCTTCCTTTCGTCATGTAGCAACGGTGCAAGCGACCGGGACGAAACATGATGCAGCTGAGCTGAGTAAGAGGTTCCGGGCACACACACACACGAGGAAGGGATGCTATTACGTTGTCCGTTGTCCATGTCAGTACGAAGGTTATGAAAATTGAATCCGGAGGATTTCACAAGATGTTCTTATTTGTTCAGAACTTCGCATATCACTTGCTAAGAACCTTCCATGTCATTGATCATGAGTCCAAAAAGTTCCTGTGCCAACCTGACGTTCCCCCGGCCTGCCTTCTTCACCCAGGTGACTTCCACCTGAGGCATCTTATGGGCCCGATTATAAAAAATCAGAGACCAACACATTCCTGTGGCTTGTGTGAACAACTCCCAAACATGTATATAATAAACAGTTGTGGACCCCACCCACACATCAATATCTAAGGTGCTTCCCTTGTCACATCTCTGTATTTTGCGACCTGGGCAGGATTACTTCATTGTCTCTGAAGAAGCGCCTGGTGTTCGGCCGCGTCCAGCTGCTTGAAGGGTTGGCTCTCCTCCGCCCAGATTTCCGCACCAAAGCAGATCTGATCCGCCACCGTCACGCTGCACGCGCCCGTGCGGAAGACCTGGTGGTCTTGTCCGTGGCAACTGGCTGAGCAACTGGCTGAGGGGAATGCTTCTAACATCTATACCGATAGATCTTCCAACTGTGAACAATTTCTGCCTTGCATTGATACAACCATCGGAAATGCTCACATTTTGCATAGTTGGAACCAGAAATATCATAGAATATCGTCTCCAGATCTATATAACAGTATGTGGCCCGGCGTCGAGGATGCGTCCACGAAAATGTCATCTGGACGTGACACAATTACCCACGAATCAATGGAAGAAGGAGGGAACACACTTCTCACTCTGAGGAAGAAGCGTCCTGTACTCTGGAGGAAAGCCCAACCTTAGCCTTTGGAACATCATACACCTTGGGATGAAATCCCCTCATCGGACAAAAATCAGGAAGCCTCCAGGCTCCAAGCCGCGCGCTTCTCCAGAAAAGCATCATTTAACAAACAACATCTTGGAATTTCCGAAAGCTTCAAAGACGAAACTCTGCCTACCTAATTATATAACTATACAGTAGGTGAATGTATTGTTCATGTTGCTCTGTCTGTTTCGATACACTTTTAAGACTAGGAAAAACCTCCGAGAAGTCTTATGATCGGATCCTGGCCTGGTCTTTGAGGCCTCTCACAGTGATCTCTGCTGGCACGTCGACTGTGCACAGCTCGATGCCAGAGATGGACAAGAGCATGACTCGTATGGTTCTGCCACCATCCGCGCAAGGTGAGGTGCTCATCGGACAATCGGGGCCCAAGCATTGGTGGATGGTGGATCACCTCTAGGACTGGACTGGGTTGGTTTTGGGAGTCGTGCCGTGCCTACCAAATATGGTAACAGCTCTGCTTTCAGCACCTCTTGTGAAGTCGTATGCGAAACTGTCGAAGAAAATCACGTCTGCGGACGTCCGCGTGCATGACTCAATCGTTTGGCTCTCTTGGCCGACCATCTCCATGCTTGAGCCATCATGGAAGGGCCCACCAAGGCGCCCGTTGGTCGCTTCGTTGAAGCTGGTGACTGACGAAGCTTGGGCATCTCTAGGGCTCGTATGTCGCCGGACAAGCGGGGCGCAGAACCTCATCTTGCGTTCGCCCCTGCGGTGGTCGAACGAACACTACGAGAATGAAAGTAATGCTTCAGTTTGAGAGCTTGTCCAGTGAGAATCTGGAATCTCCAGAACCTCCTAGATTCCAAGTTGTGAAAGTGGGTTTTGTTGAGGTGCCTTGAAAACGACGGAATGCAACTGGCCACAGTAAAGGAATCCCGGACACTCAAAGCAGACTTAAATCTGGCCAGGTTGTTTGGATCCTGTGGTCATCGGCCAGCATATTGCAGGATCGTGTTAAACTGTTCAACGATGTGAAGCTCAATCAATCTGGTGTGATTTATCTTACCCATCGCCCGCACTGGCCCGTTAACCGTTAATAAGTCAAACATGTTAAAAAAAAGCAGAAACGTAGCGAGATCTGAACACCAAGAACGACACACTTGAACATGAACAACAACTATACAACCTTTAAAGAACAACTCAAGCTGTATCATCCACATCATCCACCTGACCCTTCCCTGCTATCCACTCATCCATGAGGGTTTGCACATGTTTTTCCAGATTGGTCCGCGGCCGAGCCTGTTTCTCATCCATGAGGTTTGGATCCTGGCCAGGCCCGAACAAAACAATGATAGAAACAACGAGCAAAGTTTCAAAGCTATGTCGACCAGTCTCTTGCCGTTTCGGTCCAGCTGAAGCGGTGGACCCCCAAACTCCAAAGATGTGGAGCAGCAAGGGCCGCCCAAGGGGCGGGTAAGAACTCCCGTCTTCTGGGACCTGTGAGCTCCCAAGTGCTCCAAAAACGATCAAAAAGGATCAAGAGAGAATCAAACCACCTTCGAATCCCATGAATGAGGTCTCTCTCTCTCTCTTTCTCTGATCTGAGTAAATAACCCAAAACCACAAACCACGTTCAACTGCGGAGAAGTAGAATCACCAGGAAAATTGTTTGTATTTGTACCCTCTACTCTGATTACATAATGCAAAAAAAAAGGCTAGTCAAAGGACCCCCCCTGCAGTCTCACCTTGCGCATTGTGTTTTTTATTGTTTTTCGTTCCCCATGCGACTTCCCATGGAGCACATCGGCACTCGACTCAGCGCAGCAGCACCTTCACCACCAAGGGCTGGGTCACCATATCCTCCAACTTGGTTACATTGCGTGCCTGTACCGGGCCGGCACTTGGATCCAGCTGAAAGGGACCAGGGTTACGGCTAAATAAGTTGTTCTGAGTCCACTATCTTGCCCAGCACCTTGCCAAACTGACAAAACACGAGTTGGAAGAGTCTTCTTGACCCCTTGATGGGAAGGTATCCATACGAGGTACGGTTAACATTTATTGTGTCCAGCATTGTCCAGCTATTGCGTCGCCAAATTGCGTGGCCCTATCGTCCCCACTCGTTCCCCAATGTTTTGGTACCTTGTCGCAATGTACTTGTTTTTTGTGAGTCCCCTATCGTATGCCTGAGCTTGGAGCATTATATATATATATATCCAATATGAGTCATATGAGTGAAACACTGAGTGAAACGCCATTATGCAATCGTAATCATCAAAATTGAAGGCACTTCATGACTTCATGTGTCCCCTTTTTGGGGTGACACTTCGTGAGTACCATGCAAAAATGTAAGTGGTGGTGTTGGCTGCCACCCCCGGCCAGGAGCCAGAAAGGGTGAACCAAGAAAGAATCTGCCTGCCCAAACCACTTCACAATGCTGAGGCAGTCGGCTAGAGCAACACAGTAGTCCCTAGCGGGCCCGTTAAGAATGTAAAGGTCCAAGAATCACAACAACACGGGCAAAAACATCACTAGTAACAAGAAGCTGCTAGTAACAAGTGCATCGCTACTAGTAACAAGTGCCTTACTAGTAGTAACAAGAAGCTGCTAGAAACAAGTGCATGGGCGTTCCTTCGGCAATGGCCGTTTGGACATTCGGACGTCGCACATCGGATGTGGCTTCGGCATGGCTCGACCTGTGGCTCGCCCTTGCTGTTGAACATCAAGGAAAAGCTCACCTCATCACCTTGGACCAACGCATATCAGCACCCCGTTCTTCTGAGAGGGATGGTTCCACACGTTGTGGTTGTATGTTG